TTTGTACTATATTTTTATTGTTTCCTCCAACCTACCTTCAACAACTTCAACATCTAGTTGTGATACAGCCTTTTGAAAGTAGTGTAATGAACCAACATTATTAGGCTTTTATCTCAATGGTTGTTGACTTTCGAGACAATTCGGACTTTTAACTTTTTCTGACCCTCCTAAGATATACTTCGAAAAATAATTCTTGCGCCATAATTGAAGCTTCAAACAAAGAAAATAATGGTAGTTGATTAGCTTGGGTTGTAAATTTTATTCAAAAAAAATAAAAAAATGTTCAAAAACGTCGCATTGTCGAAGTTTATCCAGTTAAATTGATAAGTAACATCCATATGGAAAGAACTTTTTTTGTTCTCGAACAAAAGAATCCTTTTTATTCCAGTTATACTGTCTTTGTCGTTTAGGAAATAAATTAAAATTTTAAGAAGCATTTTTAATAATATTTTGATTTGCTGTAATGTGAAAACAATGTCTAGCCGCAGTAAGGTCTGCAATTTTAAGTGTTCTCCCGGACATTTTCTCAGTGTAATTTGTCGCAAGACTTATTGCCTAAAAAAATTTATAGCCCTGACGACGGGTCCTCGGAGAAGGAGATAACGCAGCTCGGAGACGGCGACGGGCCTCCGTTCCGCTCATGTTTGGGCAGGTGTATTTGCGAGCGGTGATCCGAGAGGCCGCCAGCCATCTGTCACCGTGACTGTTCCTCCGGCTGAGTCCCAGTCGCTTATTCTTCAACCTCCCTTAAGTCCCCCGACTTGATTGCGGTTTCGGCCACACGATTTCCTCCATAAAACCGCACGAATTCACTAGACTGTCATCCGAAATTAAAGTTTTATTTAAATTAACGCCTGTTGGTTAGGAATATTACTTCGGATATTAATGCGAAAAAGATAAAGATAAAATATAAGGGTACAATTTGAGGATTCCTTGAATTAAGGAAAAATTTTCAAAATCTTTTAACATTCCGGACATTGAAGAAATCCAATTGTTTCCAGCACGATTTGGCTTTTCCGTCCTATGCTCCTGTTCATCAACTTTTAATTAAATTAAAATTAAAGTTGATGACTCAAACCAGATTTCGACCCCGATTCATACCGTTTTTGAGACAAATTTCTAATTAATTTTTGTGGAGTCTGTAATCATTTAAAAAAAACAGTTTTTTTTAAAACTACCCTTTTTCTTCCTGTGAAAAAAAAATATTTTTTTTTTTCAACCGAAAGATCTGAAAACTAGAATCTTAGATTTTCAAAATGCTTTTTTTTAATTTCCGGTACGACCATTTTTACAGTCTGTCAAAAATCACGGAAAAATTTCAAAAATTCTTTTGACACTAATTTTTTGCATTAGTTTATTATAAATGATATTACATTTAAAATTTTAAAAACGATGTTTATTAATAACTTCGTTATTTTCTAACGTTACGTAGAATGAATCAGGCTATCTGAAATGAGTTTGTAAATGGTAAGGCAGTAATAAGAAAAAAGTTACGTATAAAACAAGTCTTAGGGGTGGCTCTTTCTACCCCTAACAACCGTAGAGAAAAATCAACAAATTGTTTACTGAGTTTACTTTTGTCGTATTTCAGAACAAAATTAAAAACTACTTCTTTGGCACCCTCTTTAAGCAGTTGTTTTTATATGAAAGACCCACTTTATTTTTCGATAGGAAATCACTCCTGAATTTTTTCGCACTTATTTCCTTACATATTTCCTTACATGTATATTTCCCCCGAAATACAATTAACATTTTCTGAACAAATTTATTAGGGTGGCCCAAAAAAACTAATATTTTCTTTTCGAGACTCTTGAGAAAATATGTTAGTTTATCATGTTTTAAGAGACCCCTCACAAAATCAGCTCAAAAAAATTTTTTTAGATTTTTAAAAATTTTCAAAATCGTCAAAAATTGAATTTTTTTTAAATTTTTTTTCTCGTTTTTTTATATTTTTTAGATTGAAAGAAATCTCTATTCTGAAAATTTCAAATCGATATTTTAATTTCTAAAGGATAATTATTTTAACTTTCAAAATAGTGTACCTAAAATGTTTTCGAGCGATCTCTAAAAATAAATGTCAACGAATTAATAATTTTTTTATTGAATTCGATGAACAAAAGAATAAAAATAAATCACGAGACACTTAAAAAATTCCTCGAGGCAAAATTTACTACGCACTGTATCAAATATTTATAATTTTTTAATTTTTTAAAATTTAAGTATCTCGTGATTTGTTTCTATTCTTTTGTTCATCAAATTCAATAAAAAAAATTATTACTTCGTTGATATTTATATTTAGATGTCGCCCGAAAACATTTTAGGTACACTACTTTGAAAGTTAAAGTAATTATGAGTGATCTTTAGAAATTGAAATATCGATTTGAAATTTTCAGAATCGAGATTTTTTTCAACCTAGAAAATGATAAAATAATGAGAAAAAAAATTAAAAAAAAAATAATTTTTGACGATTTTGGAAACTTTTAAAAATCTCGAGCGACCTATAAAAAAAATTTTTTTTTAACTGATTTTTTGAGGGGCTCTTAAAAGATGATAAACTAACATATTTTCATAAGAGACACGAAAAAAAAACGGTTTTTTTGGGCCACCCTAATATTTATGTAGAAAAGATGTAGTAACATTGAGATAAATATTACCTAGAGTTGTTGAAAAATAAAAAACTAACATTTTCCATGTTAACTTTTAATTTTTACACAATTCCAGGTACAATTNTACTTTTGTCGTATTTCAGAAAAAAATTAAAAACTACTTCTTTGGCACCCTCTTTAAGCAGTTGTTTTTATATGAAAGACCCACTTTAGTTTTCGACAGGAAATCACCCCTGAATTTTTTCGCACTTATTTCCTTACACCCTGTATATTTCCCCCGAAATACAATTAACATTTTCTGAAACATTTATTTGGGTGGCCCAAAAAAATGAGTATTTTTTTTCTTGACTCTTGTGAAAATATGTTAGTTTATCATGTTTTAAGAGCCCCCCCCCCTCAAAAAAATCAGCTCAAAAAATATTTTTTGGAAGTCGCTCAAGATTTTTAAAAATTTCCAAAATCGTCAAAAATTTAATTTTTTCTTAAATTTTTTTTCTAGTTATTTTAACAATATTCTAGCTTGAAAAAATTTCGATTCTAAAAATTTCAAATCGATATTTTAATTTCTAAAGGTCACTCATAATTATTTTAACTTTCAAAGTAGTGTACCTAAAATGTTTTCGAGCGACATCTAAAAGTAAATATCAACGAGCTAATAATTTGTTTTATTGAATTTGATGAACAAAAAAAGAGAAATAAATCGCGACACTTAAAAAATTTCTCGAGGCAAAATTTACTATCGCACTGTGAGTTTCAAATATTTATAAATTTTTAATTTTTTAAAATTTAAGTGTCGTGATTTATTTCTATTCTTTTGTTCATTAAATTCAATAAAAAAATATATTATGACCTTTAGAAACTAAAATATCGATTTGAGATTTGCAGAATCGAAATTTTTTTCAACTTAGAAAATGATAAAATGACAAAAAATAAAAAAAAATGATTTTGGAGTTTTAAAAATCTTGAGCGACCTCTACAAAAATTTGTTTTTTTAGCTGATTTTTTGACGGGGCTCTTAAAACATGATAAACTAATATATTTTCACAAGACACGAAAAAAATATTTTTTTTGGGCCACCCTAATATTTATGTAGAAAAGATGTAGTAACATTGAGATAAATATTACCTAGAGTTGTTGAAAAATAAAAAACTAACATTTTCCATGTTAACTTTTAATTTTTACACAATTCCAGGTACAATTTCAAACAGATTTAATAGCATCTAAAACAATTTTTTAACAATTTCTTATTGTAACAAAAAAACTGATATACATATCTACAGGTCTACAAAAACGGACCCGTGCCTAATTAAATTCGACGACCGTATGCGTCGAATTAAATATTCCATTAATTTCCGAAACGGTGATTATGAATTCAAAGGAAGTCTTGATAAACGCGTGGCTGTCTCGTGCTGTACCGTAGGCCTTCAGGGGGCAGCTGGACCAATTCAGCACTTCTTCAACCCTCGCCAAGGAACGTTGTGTAGGTCAGAGGGCACAAGGGCAACGTGACTTATGACGGGCTGTCTGAGCCTGCACCTGGTGTTGGTCTGGTTCCTATCCAACCGCCCTTAAATATGTTCGCCACTTCCTATGCCACGGTTACAGGGCCGTCTCGAGATAATTGCCGTGTGGCAATTGGTTTTTAACATTCAAGAATATCCGATTTCTAAACTATCATTACGTACTTTAAAAAAAGAATACTCATGAAAGCACGACGAAGATAAAAATTACTGAATATGTAAATTATAAAAAGTGTAGATAAATTTACTGAAGAAAATTTATAAAAATTTCCAGAGGAAATTTACAATAGATAAACTGTCAGCAACATAACTTTCTGCAGTTGTGGCTGATTTCCACCCACCATGTCTCCTGATTGCAAATACATCAACTCCTGTATTAGCCAGTAATGTTGCCGATGTTCTTCGGAATGAATGACCTGTATATGTTTCAGGTTGTTCTAGTTTCAAAAACTGTGCGATCTTATTAGGAACCACAGAAAGCGTATTCTTGACGACTGGTACTTACCTCCTTTATGGTGTAAATAAGCATTTAACTTATTCAAAAGTATTTTCATAAATTGCCATTATATTTTAAAATTGTTCCACAACAAACTAATTATACCTATTGCTGCCATTTCTGACGGTAGTGTATGAATAGAGTTATACCTATTTGTTACCGGCACAACTTTGGAGTAATTGAAATTCTCAGTGTATTTTGCAATTGTGATTATTTTTTTTTAATTAAGTATCTAATTAAAGGTTAACAAATAGGATGTCGAAGGAGATACTTAATATTTGCTGATACGTTGCTGACAGAAATAAAAATAATAAAGATTTTATTGTATAAAAGATCTCAATACTAACACATCATCAAAACTTAATTGTAACCTAAAACTTATTTACTAATTTCATACACGTAGCGAGTTACTTCACTGGGGTTGGTTGCCAGCACATAATACCTCCAATATATCTTGTGCCTCAACAAAAATAAAAGGTACACCACTACCCTACCCATCACCATACACGCCAAACAGCTCACCAAAGCGATAACTGCCGTACCAGGATTCTCCTTGTAATCTAAAATCTTATACAAGTAGTGGTCTCCGTAAATGCTCAAACCCCCGCATACATAGTAAATATACGTGAACAAAGCGTAGATGACAGCCACAGCCAGCGACGCATAACCGTGCACCAATTTCGCTGGCACGCTGCATATCATGAAATCCATAATGACCAAAATGGGCACCCAAAGGTGCAGAATGGCGGTTTTCGCAAAGTAGGGAAACCCCCGGGAGTGGACCAGGGTGAAATATCCCACACACAACGCAATGGAGGAATCCGTAACTATGGACATCGCGATCCACTGCACTTTACAGAAAACAGAGCGTTCCCTTTCGATTATGTCTTCGTCCTTAATATTCGACCGCCTTTGTTTCATGTACTCCTTAAAAACGCACACCAGGGACATGACCGAAGACACTGTGCACATGATGAAATGCCAGCACGTGTAATAGCAACTTGCATATATTATTTGCAAAGTAATGGGAATATCGACTTCTAGACAAAAGCCAGTGACGAACGTAACCACGTAAAAAGAAACGTACGCCAGTCTGTATATTACGTGGAACTCGTCTATTCTGCTTCCCGTTTGCCACTGGGGTAAATAGAACAGGTCCTGGTGCCCATAATTCCACTTGATACTGTCCATGACGGTATTACTTTTCGCACTCATATTGATACGAAAACTGTCAAAGCTGTAATTAGCAAACGTCTAATTCTTTTGGAGAACTAGATTATCGTAAAAATATAGGGAGTGAGTATTATATAAGCTATGCTAACAAATACGTCAAAGTAAGGATCGACACAGAGAAGCCTGAGATGAGAAGAAAAATACAAATTGTCTTGGAGATCACAGGTTGAAAGGACTATCCGGAAATCAGTGGCAAGTCGCGGTAACCAGGAAACCATAGAGGATCCAAAGGCTTGCCTGCTTAGGTATTACAGATGACAATAAGGACGACCCCAATGACCGCATTAGAGGTCCTCTTGGAGTTGCGATTGTGAGGGAGGCGATGGCGACATACCTAAGGAAAAGGGACATATATAGGTGGTTGGAAAACAGAAGGACGTGTATAGGTTACGCTGCCATAGCCCTCAGGGAGGGAGAAATCCCAATATCTGCCATGACGGTCATTGAAGCAGGATGAGGCTAGGGAGGAAGTATGCCACCGCCTCGAGAGAGTAGTGGAAGCAGGAAAGTGATATGTTCCCTCCAGGATCCTTAGTATGCTATACTAATGGATCTAGACCTCGATTCTTGACGGTGAGAGGGAAACGTTCCCTCATTTCGCTCTACTACTATTCTATTACAAAATTCATACTGTATTCTCGACTCAAGGATATCGACAGTGGCGGCTCGTGAAGGAGGACTCTGGGACTCCGCCCCCCAGGTATTTTCAAACTATAAACTTAAAATAATGTATTTATTTAAATCAATAAGAAATCTAAATAGCATGCATCTCTTGGATGTTAGGTTGGTTGCATAAAGTGCATGTACTCCGTGAACGTAGCTCAGATTAATGCCATCTGCCATCTATGATCGTACCAAAGAGTTATGTTTGACCGCGCGCGCAATCCCCACTCCATCGCGGACCGTGAAATCTGAGTCCATCGCGCAAGCATATTTTTACATATAATTGGACAAATTGGCACGAATGGCACGTGGAGGGGATAGGCAGTAACCCGTATCACTGAAGTGTGGTTATACGTGTTATGTTTTTGCTTTGGCGCTTTTTAAGACATTATATTTTATAAGTTTAAGTTTAAAATGAGGGTTTGTGAAATAAAAAAAACTTGTTATTAGTAATTTAAGTTTAGAGGAAAAAGTCAAATTGAAAAATAACGGACGTCCAACGCCAGTGTTGAATTTAGTTCAGGTGCAGAAAGAGTGCAAAAGTGGGCNTGAAAAATAACGACGTCCAACGCCAGTGTTGAATTTAGTTCAGGTGTAGAAAGAGTGCAAAAAGTGGGCCGGCTTTCGCAAATTTGATAAAAACATTTATGATAAGACCCCGTGGTGGTGTGGTTGTGACCAAACAAATAGATTTTTTTGTTTTGTATGTTTATTGTTTGAAGGAGGCGAAGAAAACTGGACGAAAACTGGAGTTTCTGACTTGAAACATTTTGAAGTTAAAATTAAGAAACATGAAAATTCTCCTTAACACAAAAACAAGTTGGTGAGTTTTTTACTTTTAGGAAGAGTAAATATTGCTTCTTGTTTAAATAGTGCTTATGCAGAACAAATAAATAGTAAATAGTCATAACGAAACAGTTAAGAAAAATCGATTGCTTCTTTCAAAAATTATAAATATCTTAAAACTATGTGGTACATTTAACCTTCCTCTTCGTGAACATAATAAAAAAAGTGACTCGGTAAACAAAGGGGTATTTTTAGAACTGATAAACTAGACTTAGTGCAAAAATTGATCCCGTTTTAGATAAACATCTTAGTGATGCCCATGTTTTTAAAGGAACTTCAAAAACTATACAGAATGAACTATTACAGTAATTTACATAATTACATCCTAACTGGGTTGGTTGATCGATTATCCGCTTCAGCCCCCACATGTTGGAATTTTATTTCTCGCATTGTATCTAAGTAGCTACTTTACACACTGACAGTATTCATTTTGGGGTAGTTGCAAAACACAATGACCTTCAAATTCCTTAAAAAATTTTTAGGACCGCCCCCCACACCCCCCGCAGTTCTTATGATGTACGTCCTCTTTTCAAAATACGCCCCTCCTGTATTCAAACTCACGGGCCGCCACTGGATATCGAGCCATGAAAGTGAAGAACGAGGAACAATGTTGTCAAATGTACCGACCAATCAGAAAGCAGTAAATAGGCGCTAGAATGAAAACTAGTGATGAGCTAGTCATGAAATAAGTGCTACTTATTAATGTTATTTGATTGTCAGTGTCAGATGTGGAAGACAGTGGTATCCAGGAAAGTTTTCACAGAGGTGTTCGCTATTTTGATGGTGGCAAGTAAGGAGGAGGTAAGGAACTGCGTAGAAGAGAACATTTTTTATCTGTCCCGACAGTCAGGCAGCGCCCGAGGTGTTCGTCCTTGTTCAGAAGTGTGGAAATGCCCAGGAGTCACCGGCCAGACGAAGAGAGGTAGAATTGGTTTGGGTTCCGGACCACGTGGCCCTTGGCAACGAGAGAGCAGACCAACTGGTTCGTCTTGAATCCTGGGGGTCTGGTCAGGCACCTGAACCAATCCACGGAATCACACGAGTTAGCCTTAACGGAAACTCTAACAAATGAGCCTATTAAACATTAGGTCAAAACTGGAGGATGAACAGAGAATTTAGGCAGCAGGCCCATATATGGTCGAAGAGCCCTAAACCAAATGATGGAGGTCCTGACAGTTCATCGCAGAATAGCTGCATGGCGATGAGATGAAGAAAGTGCAGTAAGACATTTTTGATTAGGTAAAAATAAAGACAAAATCAACTCTGCGGTATATCCTTTTCATGCAGGAATAGACCAATTCAAATAAAATAATTTCTTATGTTTTTGACTTGATAAATAATAATACCGTTAAATAACTCCTGCCTTTGCAGAGGGTGGCCACGCATACTTTGCACTATTAAGTACTAAAATTGAACATGTACTCTTAAGAGGTTCGTCGACCCCCTTAGGACAGCCGGCGGCCAAACCGATAGGCCTATTGAGGGCTCGCGTGAGCGAATACTTTTTTAATAAAAAAAAATATGAGATTCGTTTCGGTATGCGTGGTATGTGTTCTTCGTACACACGAAAGCGTTTCTCTGACCAATACTGATTTTAGTCAAGATACATAATATACTTCTTAAACCTTATCGGGTATAGTTCTAGTATAAATATCAAGATAAGTAGTATGGAAAAAAATCAAACGCTCGTATATAAATCAAACTTGACCGAACCCTTAAGTGGCAACTGTAACGACAAAAAAACTTTCACCTCGATGACCTTCGCGGGCCTAAAGTGATTTTTTTCATTACAGTTTTACAATAGGCATCGAGTGAAGGTTGATTATGACCAAAATCGATTTGATTCACAAAATACGGCCGAATATACAAGGTATATTAGGTATGTGCCGAAATGTTAAGAGAAATCTTTGTAAGTAACCAATGATTTTGATAAAAAAATCATATCCATAGGCTATACAAAAAACAAACGTTCTATGTGGTTTTTGTTATACGAAAGTTGAATTTTTAATAATCCAATAATTCCAAGATTAATATATTTAGGATGAAAATAATAAAAATAAGAAAATTTCCAAAACTAGTACCATATCTGAAAAAGCAGTTGGATACCGTCCGAAAAAGTTGATTTAGAGATTTTTACAAGAAGCACCTGATAATAGATTTTTGCTACAATTCAAATTAATATAACTAATTTTGGACAACTTTTCAGGTCATTTTAATAATTGGTGTTTGTGGAGCTTTCAGAAGAGATGAGCTACTGAAGATTACGATCGATGATAGAGAAGATAAATATTCAATTATTATTATGAGAATTCCCGATTCCAAAACTCATATCCGACATGTTTTGTGATTTCAAGTCCAGACCAAATGAAGATATACCGCAAATACTGTGCTTTATGTCTGGCATTTACTACAAGTCGAAGATTTTATGTGAAGTATGTCAGGAAAAATATGTTAACCAAGTTGTTGGCGTCAACAAAATAAGGAATGTGCCAAAAGAAATAGCAATTTGCCTCCTCCGGAAACTTATATAGGACACTGCTTTAGACGTTTTTCCGCCACTGTGTTAGTAGATGCAGGGGCCGATATTACCACCATTAAATGACATGGAGAGTGGCGTTCTAGTACGACAGTGGATTGGAGATATATAGAAAATTCTATATAAAATAAAATTTCAATCACAAATAAATTGAAACTGAAAATTTAACGAAAATGTCAACTTCTGGCGACAGTATTTTAATACTGACTGAGCCACGACATTTACGATTATTATATCGTTAGATTCAACTAAGTGCCTATATTTAGCCGCTCTAATATGTCCTGAAACGAAATTTCAGGAACAATTAATTTTTTTGCCGGCCGAGGTAATAGCCATATAAGAAATCATGAATAATGAATAAGGAATTCCTCACAGTTAAGGGTTCGTGGGGCTACCGCTTAAGTGTATTCCAGATTTACCCCACACGCGAAGCACTCCATCTTATGCCACATTGATTAATGGCTTCGAGGGGAGATTAGTATAACCGCTTGATTTTTTCCGCGGATATACTCGCAGATAAGTCGGTGATCGATATATTTAACATATCGACGAATACGGTAAACCTGAAGTGTTTTGATTTAGTTCGATAAGTCACGATGAATAAAGTGAAAATAATCGGACTGAAAAAGAGCGATCGTTACATCAAACTAGATCGTAGGTATTGGTTACATCGCAATAAACGACCTTATAAACACCTGCATGCAGTGCAAGTAATAATAGCATTTGAAACTGCTATACGTTTATTGCACGTTGTTAATTACTATAATTATATAAATTGGTTACAAACTTTATTATAGAGCAATAATATTTCACGAAGTCTTAATTTGGTACTATATTTAAACTTCCTTATAGGCTCTTGATTCTGTACTAACTTGCTCTATTCATCATAAAACATAAAACAATAATTATTGTAAAAGATTATTCACTCCCCTTATCT